CTGTCAAAGTTAGGCATATGCAGACCAAAAGAAGCACTTTTCCTGTGAACAGTTTAATGACACCACCATTAATTGCTTTCCCAACCACCACAGGTTAAACATGGCCAGAAGTGGCAGGTAATTGCTTCTAAATCCTCCTAAAATTGGGGGGTTAATCCAGATCCCAGATGTGCAACATGCAGACAGAAAATAAGGATGTGGCCCTGGGTGCCATCGCCCCCAGCCAACAAAATGGATATGGTAGCTTTGTCACGGTAACGGTTGCATGCCACCAGAGCCCATCTATTTTGGCAGGCCAGTCTTTGGTCAGCAGTCATGTTTAGGCTTAGCGCTGACTCTGGGGATAGACACAGCAGCATGAGAATAAGGTCAGCAACAGAGAACTGAATAGCACTATAATATGTGGAGGGATACAGACTCTTTATAACTACATATTTTATAAGTTTGGTATATTACACATAATACTGTATGAATATTTATGTTGTTATTCATATCAATATTCTGCACACTACTATTGTAATTTCCTTATTATACTTGATCACATTCAGCAGTCACTTTACAGCCATGGTAAAGCATTTTATATTTTCTATATATTTTATTTCAAATATATTTACACGTTACATTGTCTGTTTTGCACATGAGCAAGTTCACATTCATGTACACTGATCTAGGGAATCTTATTCCATTTTATTTTGCATATTATTTTATTTTTTAACCCTTTACATTACAGTTGCCATTGACTTCCATTGTTGTCCTAATCATTAAAAACTCATAAATGAGAGACACTGTTGCACTATATAACATGTTCCTTCACTATCATGAACATGGGATCTGTAGTTTATTTTGAGCACTAAATTTGCATAAATCCGCATATGAAAATCCCCAACAAATAGGGAAAGTATCATATCAGTATGTCAAAGTATTGATATTGCTCATTTAGATCTTTTGATTAGATTTGTTGACAGTAAGAAAACATCAGCCTTTTTCTTTAATTTATCCCTGTAAATCTTCACTGTTCCATACAATACAGGCATAACCTCACAGATCACTGTAACCACCGCCTGTTGTTTTGTTTTGTTTTTTACGCTTGACAACATGATGGCAGGTTGGACAAGACACAACATCACTCAGACATCATGAGCAACACACTGCATAACGTGACTTGTCGCAGTAACCTGAGCGAGTGGGCACACCACGTAAAATGCTTGCAACCCACCACCACTGCAGGACTGAGAAGTGGGACAGAGTGACCTTGCTGATAATCTGTCTGCTCTCCCACCCCTCCTGGCTGTGAGTAATGCACTGTATGAAATACTGCAGGCCCGCTGAGTCTAAGTAACAGACAGTTTGAGGATACCTTGACATATGGTGATGTATTACCTCTCCCCAGGCGATCCCTCATCGGCTGACCTGAGCGGTGAACACAAACCACCAAAGGTTGCATTTCTGGTAATGTGATAGCAGCCTTAAAAAATGCGATTCCTCCATCTATGTTTGTCAAATTTCAAAAACCCTCAGTTTATTACAATATGAGAACAGTCATCGTTTGTGCTAATGACATAGTGCGAAAGAAAATCATAGGTGTTCTTTGAGCAGGCTGGCAGGACTGCTGTTCAGAGTTGCGTAGGCAGCAGAAACCCACGAGAAAGTGTGTGTGTGTTGTGATGCTGATTTTTGAGAGGGGGGTAAAAAAAGTGTAAGAGTCGGCTAGGTGATGAGGGAGCAAGGTGATTCTGATGCATGAAAAATAAATCAGATTATTTTTAGTTTGGTGGGAACACAGTGCAAATCCAGTAGAGATTATCTTACGCTTTTTTTTTTGAAAAAAGCTCTCTATCAACAATAGGATAAATAATTAAAAATCACTACATGCCAGCAGACTACATCATGAACTACAGTGTGCTGATGCTGAGTGATATAAAATGAAGCCAAAACAAACACGCTAAAAAAATAAATAAGACATGAGAGGCTACTTCCTGTGTTCAACAAGGAGGCAGCCCCTGAAAAGCGAGGCAAGTCTGTGACGATAACAATGCTGCTATTTTTACTAACAGTAGGAGACTGGTGACAAAGAGCGAAAAGGAGAAAAGAAGGAGCGAGAAAAAGAGTGTCAGGAGGAGCAAACAAAGGCTCTAGTGTGAACTCTACCCGAAGCAGAACTGCTATTTTTGCCAGTTTGGGAGGACAGACAGACAGAGAGACAGACAGACAGACATACAGAGAGGAGCGTTCAGTGTAAAACAGGGACAAAGAAAGACATGCGCCCAGACATCCAACCGCCATCACCACAACAAGACTCAACTGTGGCCAAAAGCTGCACAGAGGGGAAATATGCACTAAAAATGGGCACTTCCTGTTTGGAAGAGAAACAAACTGACACTGTGACTTAAGAGCTGGCAGTTATACAGTCGCATGACATTTGAGCTGCATAATAACGCCCCTCCCATTTGACCTCAACAACCCCCCTACCACCACCCCAGTCTTTTACTCTCATCCACCCCTGCATCAATCTCCATAACAAAGGCCACAATGATACAGTGTGAAAGGACACAGTGGGAGGTTATTCTCTGATGATGGCTGTAGGGTCACAACCAAATTCTGCTTTTTATGACTTCTTTATGGCACCATACATAATGCTTCCTCCTGCTATCCATCTTTGATCTCACGAGGATAAAATAATGTGACAGAAATCCGTTTTTCCCTTTTCCTTCTGTATTACACTTGCATGATGGGCATGCTAAGCTCAGGGCATGATTTAAATGGGATTCATGGGATTTTTCAGCAGGAGGGGAGACAGTTTGTTTCCTCCAGATTGTGTGGATATTAGGGCTCAACAATAGCTAATCACAGATATGTCAGTATTACATTTCCCATAGTAATTGTTGTATGTTTTTTAGGCTGCATTTCTTATTTTTTTAAATTCAAGTTTAAAATTATGTTTTTACTTGTAGATATTATCGAGAAGTAGAGGTATTATTTAAAGGTTCCTTGTGGATACATGTTTATGTCTCTCCTCAAGACACATTATGTGTACCCTTGATGCCTGACCAACGTGTTGTATGCATTTCCTTCCTCATAAAAACATTTGCAAGGCTTTATGTATTTTGCAACACGCATCGATTGTCACATTGTCTAGGAATCTCCTTCTTCTTCTCTGCCTTTAGCTGAACTGAGCTTAAGTGCAACATTTGTTGGCACATTATGACCAACAACTGTCCACAAGGTGCCTTTCATTTCAGTGGCGTTTACTACTTTAAATTTCATACTGTCATATTAACCATAAAAGGCTCTAAAAACCAGTTGTCACAATTAGATTCTTACAATGAGGGATTTGGGACCTACATAAACACACTATTATCCAATGGTTTATGGCGGTTTGGCTCTGTTGGAAAAACATGATGTCACATAGTTCCATGTACCAATCAGTGTGTTTTTGAATAGCAACTTAATAATAGAATTCACTATGTTTAGTCACAAATATTTCATTGTAGACATTTTGAAACCAAGCTTTCAAGTGCTCCAAATATGCCATATTTACCATCACTATCATCTTAGTTAAGGTGGTTAGATATTAAAGGAGCAGTACAACATTTTGGGATATATGCTTGGTGCTTTAGAGGTTCTGGAAGGTTGGTTTAGTTACATTTGTACAGAGCCAGGCCACTTGTTACCCTTAATTCCAGTCTTTGTGCTATGCTATAAAGCTAACCTAGCTGGCCGCTGGTTGTGGCCTATTTACCATAAAGACACAAGAGTGTTATCAGTCTACTCATCTAATTCTCAGCTAGAAAACAAATAGTGGCATTTTCCCAAATTGTTGAACAGTTTCTCTCAAAAGTTTACTGCTCAGGTCTGCATTACATTGCCTTAGTTCAGATCTTTGTCACAACTCTTTTATAGCCAATTATGAGGGATTGTTGCTGAAGCTGTTTATGTTTATTAATGTCCACCTATTTTTCATTATCTGATTTTTTTTAAACTCTTGCATTTTGAAATATCAGGCCTAGTGACTAAGGCACTGCTGGCTGATGTGCAGCCATGAGAAGAGAGCAAGAGCAACTTTCAACTTGAGTGGTCATGATATGGGACAGGAGCCCTTAGTCACTGAAATGGTTTTCTGTGTGAGGGAATGTGTTTGTGATGTACAGTGTCAGGGCTCACTTTAGTCTCTGTGTGCCTCAGACCTCAAGGCAGAGCCGAGCAGCGAGACTGAGCTGCAGAGGATCCGATGCTCTTCTACGGATCATTAAACCACCCCCAGACACAGAGAGACACTTTAAATCAACTCTACCTCCTCCTCCTCCTCCTCGTCTCTCCTCCTCTCTCATCTCACTGGTCCAAGAAGAGATCACAGTTTCCTTTCTCGCTTCCTCTCTCTCGCTCACACACATAAAAACACTCCATTCCTCATTCAGCTCCTCACACACTGTCCACCGACCTTTCATGGCCATGGCAGAGTATTCACTTTTCTAAAAACAGGGCTAATTATCCAGGCCTTTTTGCCCCCCCCCCCCCAGCAATTATTTACTGAAGTAGCTCCCACCAAATTTCAGATAAGTATCTACATCGCAGCTCTTTAGGGGCCCATGTCAGCTGCACAGTAGGAATGCAGGATCATGCATTAACTACTGTGGAGGGAGGGTGTTAGTAGTGTGCAAAGCCCCGTGTTGAAACAGGGTAAAATCAAAATGTCAGCATCATTTTGACACCGGCAGAAGCTGAGTGAGTTCATTAAAACAGCTGACAGCGACACTGGCTGACTGTACCACAGTAGATAAGCTTTAAGGTCAAGTCCAACCGGCCTCACAACACACAGGATGAAAAAAAAATCAAACTCACACACACACACACCAGAATACAGACATTACTACTAAGCAGATATCAACACCTCAGCCCAATTAAGCAAGTCTCTGAGGATAGTGTCTCAAAGATAGTGTCTTCATGTTCTACCTGCAATCTTTAATATTAATTCTGTGTTTTCCCAGAGCATATATCCTCACCTTGATGGGATCCATGCTGAAGCGGATCTTCCTGGAAGCAGGCGGGCTCTCCTCTGCAGGCAGCCCAGCAATCTCCACACAGCTGGACTCAGGCTCGTAGCGGTCATCGGCGTCATCTTCCTCTTCGTCCACCTGGCTTCCTCCAAAGTCCTCCCCCACTGCGCTGTAGGTACTGATATCCACAGAGTCTCGGCCCGACTGGTCGTCTCTCAGAGTCCTGTCGTCGTCCTCCTCAGCATCCCTTGCCATCTCACCTCCCTTTAGAGAGCTTTGCTTCTGAGCAGCAGCTTCTCCATTCTCCACAGAGATGTGGATGTCACCTTGCAGTGATGTGCTGCTAGGCTCACTGGCCCCGGGGTGTTCCTCAGGTTTGAGCTCAGCTTTGGCCTTAACACCTGCATCTGAAACAGTCTTTTCTCTCTGCTCATTTGGCTCTCCTACATTACTGGAAAGTTCAGTAGTTAGGGCGCTTTGGCCCCCATTTATACTTTCAGATGGGGGAGTCACCCTCCCCCTGGGGCCCTCTTGGCCTTTCTGAAAGCTTAGCTCTTCCTCCTGGCTGCCTGCTACAAAGGCACTAACCCTCTTTGTGATTATTTTGGAGTTCAACACACCCACCTTGGCGCTGACCCCTCGAGCGGGGAGCGGTGGGGTAGAGGAGAGGCGGTGGAGGTTGTTCCGGAGCTCGGCTGCCCGTTCAAACACAGCACTGAGCTGGCTGACTGTAGGGGACACAGCCTCACTGGTGTCCAGGCTGTCCAGGGACTCTGTGCTGCCATTGAAACGAGCCACCACGTCCAACCGGCCGTCCTGGAAGCCTGAGGCCTTGTCTGTCTTCAGTAGGACTCTGGTGGTGGCCAGCTTCTCCTGCTGTTGCTTCTCTTGCTGCTGCTCGAAGATGCGGCGTGTCTCCTGCAGCTTGGAGTAGCTTGGCGACGAGGCCCGCTGGTGCCCGTTTTCTGGTTTGGTGTCGAACTTGCTGACGCGCTCAGACACGGTGGACCCGAGCTTCAACAGCGCGCTGTGGTCCACGTTCTCGTTCAGGCTCCCGGCTCTGGGGAGGGAGAGGCGCACCGATTTGTCGGCGTTCCTGGTGGCGTCCTCTCCCTCTGCATCGGCTGGGGATGTGGTCTGCATCTGCTGGAACATGTTTTTGATACGGTGCACGTTGGAGCCGTACCTGCGCCCTCGGGGGCCCTCCTGCATGTCCCCATTCGCAGCATTGTCTTTGACGGGCTTCAGGGCCTGCATCCCCGCCTCGTACGCGTTCCTGTGCGGGGATGGGCTCCTGAGCGTAGAGCCAGAGCCGGTGCTCTTGGATGTGGATTCGGTCTTCATCATGGTCAGTCAAGCGTCGCAATGGATGCTCAGCGACGGCATGTCTCCTTTCTCAACCCCCGGTGGCAAATCTGTTTTATCCACCAGCAGCCGATAGTTGCGAGGTGGCGCCCAGACTAAACCGGCAGATGGGGAGAAACAAAAACAACAGATCGCATTAAAGGCCTGCTTGCATCCGCTGCAATTCTCGTCCAATGCTACGGAGAAAGTGTGCACGATGCATCTGTCATTAGCTCGCTTGCAGTTACACAATGAAAACCTAACCTTCACAGATAATTGCATTAGTCATTAAAAATATTTGCACAGAAAAGTAGAACAGTAATGACCGCGGATTTGCCGCAGCTGACGACAGATTGCTTACGTTTAATCCCTTTTTACAGACAGCATCATTTTGATCTCTTCATTCTGTGAGCTGCAGATTTCTGGTCCTCCTCTCGTAGCGGCAGAGTGCTGCTGCATGGAGGAGGGAGCAACTGGGTCTTAGTGCCAGACACTCACAGAGGCTGACAACAGCCTAACAGCCCATGCTAATTTATTATCCTTAGCAGAAGTGCATTAACTGTAACTTGTGTTGTAGTGAGTGATGGCTGTTTCACTTCTGACAGTAGATCAGTGACTCCCTACCAGAGGTACTTTACAGTGGGCTCCAAAAGTCTGAGACCACTTTTCCTGTTCAGGTGGAAAAGTGGTCTCAGACTTTTGGAGCCCACTTAGAATGCCTGATGGGTCCTTGTGAAGAGGTAGAATTATGTGGTAACTAGCAAATAAGTTTAAACAGTTGAAAAGAAATGGATTCTTTTAACGTTAAAGGGTTCAGGGAGGTATGTATAAACAGTTGGAAGAGCTAACTAGCTAAAAGTAATTGGGAAAAATATTAAATGGATAAATTGTTGAAAAAGCTGGTTACAATTTAATTGGGAAGAGTGGAGAAAGACTAAAAGTAATAGATAAATTTAAAAAAAGCTAGAGGCTAGAGAAGCTAATGGAGTAACAGAAATTGTCGGTTAAAAGTGGTGGATATTTGGGTGAAACAGCTAGCTAATGGCAAAACTGAAAATGTTGGAAGAAAAAGGAAAGGTTAATGGTTAAAACATTTAAGGGTAATGGATTAACAGTTTGTTAACAGATTGTTAGCTTGAAAATAAAATTAGGCGTTCAAACAACAGTAGGCTAATAACTGTAAGGTAAAAGTTATGAGGAAAAAGGCTAAAGTAGTAAATGAGTGGCTGAAACAACCGTTATAACTGTTAGATAAATAAATGTGGTGGAAAAACTAAAAGCAATGGTTAAACAGTTGTAATGGATAAACTGTCATTTCAAGTGGTAGCAGTAAATGCAAACCTGACCAAACTGCCCCCTCATCACCTACAAAAATACAGTTTCCTACAGAAATAATAAATGGCCAACAGAAACCCTATTACTGTTGTTATTATGAATCACATTTACTGTTTGCCTGGGAGACCCCCCTGGAAAACCACAGTGAGCTAGCGGCTACCGGTGGCTACTAAGCTAACCGACTCGCATTAGGACCCAGTAAAACTTCACTCACGTCAAACCTCCTTGGCCAATAACACATCCGTTATTTGCAGCCACATTGTTGCTTCCCGCATTCTGCATCTGTGCTGATAGATACATTAAATATTATCTTTGAACGTAGACAAAGCATTTCCCTTTTAAGGAGGGAGCTGTTTTCAATCTAGCCACTGCTATCTCGGTTTTTAAACTATTACGGAGGCGCGATTCACCCACAAGGCCAACACACTCCTGCAGCTGTTTCACACAACATGAGCGACCTCGTTTCATGTTCACTTAACTGTCATCCACTGTCCCTTTTATCGTATTGGCAACTTTATTTCACAGCAGTTGAGGGTCTAGTCTGAAGGACATAACTAGATGAATAAGCAGGAGAGGACTGAGGTGCTGTCAAACAGGATGTACACCACTTTTCAGTAAGGCAGTAGTGCCATCTAGCTTCCTCATGAAAATGTGTGTAACTGTGGCCTTAGCATAGCAAAGTGAGTCAGTGATTGAAAGTTTAAAAAAGGTCAATGAATAAAATAATTGTTTGTGTATATTAGACTAACTTTTACTTACAGTAAATGGAGGGTAAAAGGATTTCCTAGATATATGAAGTTAAAAAATACATTCATAGTGGCTATCTGGTATCTGCAGACACAACACGTTACCCACCACCCCCTCAAGTGCAGTTTTACCAGTGGCAGAGGAAGCATTCAGATACTTTACTTGACTAAATGCACTAATCCCATACTGTGAAAATACTCCATTACAAGTAAAAGTCCCACACTGAAAATTTTACTCAAGTAAAAGTTTGTATAATCAGAAAAATGTACTTTAAGTATTGAAAGTAAAGGTACTCAATGTAGAACAATGTCCCCTGTGAATGTTATACTGTTATCATTATTATTATTATTATTGATGCAATAATGTTTAAGCTACAGCTCAACCAACTGTTACTTTTTAACCATAGGCCAATAAGTCTACAACTGATGATTATTTTCCATTATGGATTAATCTTCTGATTATATCCTCAAATTACTGATCATTTTTTTTGTAAGTTCAAAAGATATTGAGAAATGCTTATCATAATTACACACAGCCCAAAGACACCTTCACAATACTTGTTTTGTCCAACCAGCACCCTAAACCTCAGAATTATTTAAGATAAATTACAATTATTAAAAGAATTACCAGGAAATAGCAGAAAATGGAAGTGGAAACGATTAAATTTGTGGCATTTAACAACAAAAATGACTCATTATTAGAATAATATAATAATCAATAAACCATTTAATCGACTGACAGTACATACTGTTGGTAGTTTAGCCTATAACAAAGCATCATATTTTAATAACTCACATTCACAGACTCACAGACACCCCTCCCGGATGTTATTAGGTGAGTGGAACAAAAATAGCCCTGACATGTCTTTTGCTGTGACCAAGCCCCTCTCCGCTTGGCTCTGTCAATCAAAAGCCAAAACAAGATGGCAGGCTGCAGGAGCTGGGTCTTCTTCTATACAGGCAAGTTTATTCCCAAAATCATTCAACTTCATGCGATATGACTACACTGGCAGGCCTTCTTCCTGCTGTAGTATCAGGTCTGTGGTTTGTAGTGTAAATATATGGTCCTCAGCTGTCACGGACTGTATAGACCAAGCTGTTATCAGGGGGTGTGTGTTGTTACATTTTGAAGTGAAGTTTAAGGATTTTCTTGATATGATTTTTTGACCATTCAGATGCATCTTTTGGTGCTTTTTTTTTTTTTTCACAGTTTGTGCTGTCAGTGTGTTTGGGGCCAATGCAGAGATCAAAGTTTCCACTCCTGTTGGGAAGTTATTTACATATGAGCTGATGAGAGAGACTTTCCAGAATGACTTTGAACCTTTGTCAAAACTCTACGGTAAGAACCCCAACCATTAATTCACCCTTCTCTCATTATTAAACAAAGTTACAAGGTATAGATTTTCTCATTGTATGTGTTTATTTCTCTGCCCCTTTTTTTGTATCTTATACAGCTGGGCGCTTGTATGATGACCCCATGATTTTTAAGTGCAACAGGCAGAATTACCCAGACCTCCCAGAATGGCTGCGCTTCACCCAAAGACAGCCCTATGATAATGGCTTCCTTTATGGCACACCAACATCAGCAGGAAAACATATAATTGAGGTATGAAGTCATCGATTTTTGCTGTTTAGTTATATATTCTCACATTTTCCTGTCTCTGAATATAATGGGCCCAACATAGATAAGATTTCCCTACAGTGGAGGCGAATCTGAAAAATATGCAGCTATCTGAAACATCAGTGGCAAATGTCAGTTTTTGTTGTCAAACCCTCAGAGACAAAAGCTTGTTTTTCTCTCTAGAGCTGCTATTTTGAACCCAACATTAAAAATTCAGTAGGAAACATATCTTTGAAGAATGAGAGATAGGAATTTCTCAAGTGTCCCTTTGGTCTCAATCAAAGAGAATGTAGTACAGCTTGAAAACATGCTACATTACCACAGATTATAGCTGTACCTATGATTCAAAACACTGACCATATTGACAAATTACAGCCTTTTCCAGGTTGATTTTGGTTCATGTTTGCCAACTTTCTATGCATTATTTTTTGACTTTGTTTAGCATCATTTAAATTGTCCTTACCCCATAGGCATGGTATCTTTTTTCAGTACAAACTCAGCTATTAATCTGTCTTCTCATTGTCATTTTTCAAAGTGTCAAGTTGCAAGGTGCCTGAAACACATGACAATTAACACGGGCACTTTAATAAATGACAAATCTTTAGTTATAATCCCTCAAAACATTATTAAAGCTTCTTTTTGTGCCTCTTTCATTGAAAGTCAGTGTACACCCGTAAATCAATAAATATTTTACTATTAAAAGTTATTTTCAAAAAAATGTTATACGGTTTAAAGATGTGAATTAGATGGTGTGTGAAAGTCCCACAGAGGATGACAGAGGGTTATGGCATTCTGGGGAAATGAAGGAAATCTGTAACCAATGCAGAAGCAGACAAGGCAGGTTGATGGGAAGTAAATGTACACTCATCACAAACCAACAGTGAGATAATATCTGGGGATGGATTGGAAAACTGATAACTTTGATGGTAATTGACTCTCATGCTTTTTCTGACAGATCTATGCTGTTAACAAGCGGAGCTATGAAACTGCCAGACACATACTTGTGATCAGAGTCACTGCACGTATGTATGATTTCACTGATATCACAAATGCAAAGTGCAGCGATGGCAATAATGAATGAGAATATATGAGGGGAACTACAGATAACATGTGGTGCATCACTGCTGTCCCTCACAGAGGACATGTTACCCTATCAAGCCGAGTTCTTCATCAAGCTGAGGGAGATTGAGAGGGTGCTGCCCTCTTCTGTTCAGGATGAGATAAAGCAGGATTTACAGAAGCTGTGGAACACAGAGGCCTTGGAAATTGTTAATATAACTAACGCCCTTGACCGTGGCGGAAGAGTTCCCCTCCCTCTCGCAGGACACTTTGAAGGGTAAACAGAGAGATTTGTGCAAATGTGTTCTTAAGTTTTAGCTTTGAAATAACAATAACAATAACAAATCTGCTTTGTGTCAGCGTGTATGTGAAGGTGGGGTCCGAGGAGTATTTCTCAGACTGTCTCCTGAGGGTCCTGACACCAGAGCACCAGAAGCAGTGCACAGCAGGGGCCAGAGTCAAGTCCCCGGGAGGCTGTAACTTCTGCCGCATTCCCAGCAACTGTATCACCTGGTGCAAGACGGAGCTGGTGAGGCCTGACGGGACGCTTGGATGTTCATTTGGGAATTTGTTTTAAATGAAAATAAATATACAAGACATGATATATGTGAATGAGCATGCTGTGGTTGTGTAAGGATTTAGTGTTGAAACACAATGGCCCAATAAGAGTCCCATAATCTGCGGCTGTGGGTCTCACATAACCAGAAGAAAGACTGTGACGTCTCCCCTCTCTCTCTCCTTGCTGCAGTTTGATCTGAAAAAGCAGGAGCCGACTCCACCTGCTCCCACGATGGGCTCGGGGATACTGGAGGATGGAGGTGACTTCGACCCTCCTGAGTCTCCCCCAAGCAGAGACTACTTCCCGGACTACATCGTGACAGTGATTGTGCCCCTGATCCTCGCCATCATCCTGTGTCTGCTGCTGGCCTACATCATGTACGGCCGAAGAGAGGGAGTGTATGTATCTGTTTTGTAAATGAAAAATATCACTGTCATAAAGGCTCAGTTCGCCAAATTACATTTTTCTAACATGACACCTTAATCTTTTTTTACTTTATAGTGCAAAAAGGAATGCAAGGACAAATCAGTAAGTACATTGAGTTTTCCACTGCTCTCTGACTGATGCTGTTACCAGATTTAACACAAAACATTTTTCATTCTGCATAATGAGTACCTTTACTTCTGATCTTAGTGTGGAACAGAGTATTTCTACATTGTTGTTTTGGTACATTTACTTAAAGGAAACATCTGAATACTTCCACCACTCGCATTAATAACATACATGAGAGATTAGTCAGCCATCATTTTGTTTCAGCCTTTTAAACACCCGTTTATAAATGTTATTATCACCACAACACTGAAGACAAACTTAATACATATTAGCAATGGTGGAAAAAGTATTTAGATCATATTTAGATATTATAAGGTTCAAGGTTCTGCAGTAAAATGGTCCCTGTGACTGATATACTATTATATATGGCACTATTTGATGGTTAATACCTATATAATGTGTAAGCAGCATTTTACTGTATTTTACTATCTTTACATAGTTAGGTATCTTAGTCAGGTGGTTCCCAATCAAGGGGTTGGGCCCCGCCAATGGGTCAAAAGATAATTCTGAAGGGTCATGATGATGATGATGATGATGATTGGGTAGTTTTAATTAATGTTATTGTATAGTTATTTAAATGAAACTATGTTGGAAGTTGCAGGAACAACTCTTTATAACAAATCTTTATTAATACATTCTATTTTTTAAGCTATTTGTGTGTTTTTTAAAGTCAAAAATCAAGTATCTGAAAAGTACCAATTAGTAACTGTCACCTTAATGGTTGAAGCAGACAACCAACACTTTCAGACGATTTGAGTGTATTTGAGTCTCATTGATCTAACACAGAAAGGTTGTAGAAAAAATCACACACATACTGTACGTGACGTTCTGTTTGCTGCAGAATTCAGCTGTACCACCACTACACCATTCACGATAACACCGATGAGCTGAGGAACATGGCTGGAAACCGAGGTGCTCCTCCACCTCTGTCCACGCTGCCCATGTTCAACAGCCGGACTTTGGAGAGGGCTCCGCCACCGCGCTATGACAGCCCCGTCCCCCTCATCATGGCTCAGCAGTAAGACCCTCACCCACTCAGTCTCACCATTTATTCACAGATCTATTATCGTCGTCACCAGCAATCCCCGTCCTGTTTCTGTTATTGTTACTAAGAGTCCTGCAAAGTCATTCAATTCTTATTTATTTTACTCTTGCTTTTTCATAGTGATCCCTACTGTGAAACACTGCCCAGGTAAACACACTCATGCATCATTCGGGTCTATATTTAGACTTCTATGGTTCTTTTTTTGTTGTTGTTGTTGTTTTTTTTTAGTTTTTTTTTTCTATTTTTGATGATCCAAAGCATTCAAAAAGCACAGACTAATTGCATTGTTTCTTTTTTGCAGAAAATAAGAACAACGATGGATAAAGTGTCATTCATGCAGTCAGTATATTGCTCTATATTTGCAGTGGGGAATTGTGTTTTTTCTTCTTTAGGTCCCATTCACATAAATGAAGAGTGTGCTGTTTTCCAAATTGTTATTTGACGTTTATGATTTTCTGTATTCCACCATCTTTCACTACTAATAAAAGATATTAAAAGCCACATACATTCATTCACAGTTCTGTCTATTAACTAAGCCTAAGATGTTAGACGTGTAGTCAGTCTCTTGGTTGGAGGAGTAATTGGAGTGAAAGGAAAAGGCATTCACACTCACATTTCAGAGACGCTTGGCAGCTTGAGCAAGCTTTGTACAGCTCATTACTACAGGAGGGGGATATACTGTGCATATGGAAGACAACATATAAAGACAGAGGTTTACTTAACAAGGCTCAATGACAAGGCTGCCAAACCTTTGTTTTACCATTTCAAAGTAGAACTGCATTTACTTTTTATTTCTAATTGACTTCAATGGGTGCAGTACTGGAGGTCATCAGATAAGATGAAGATATAAGCTGTTTTTTTGTCTTTATATAAACAGTCTGTCACATTTTTATATGAATAAAAATGTGTTTCCTCTATCTGTATTTCTCTATCTCAGTTGTTCCCAGCTGGAAACAATGGGGCAAATGGACAGTGGTCACTAGATGATTAACAAACACTTACCTTTTTCACTTACCTTTTTCTTTTTTATTATGACATACTGAATAACTAGAGATGAAGGGAGCATCATGGTAGTGTTTTCTCAGGTCGTGACATCTTGGGTGGAGGCCAAAGGTGAGCGCTGAAGCCCGGAAAATGTCAAACCGTGATCCAGCGTTAAACTTCCCTTTAAAGCAGCTGTTGTCGCACTAGACGTCCAGAAGAGGTCGCTGGTGTATCTTCATCTGTTTTCACAGCGTTTGAGTTTGACACACATCTCCTCTTCTGCTAACAGTGAACAGTGATTCTCATGCAAATGCAGTTCCCTGTTTTTGAGTGTGGAAATGAAAACAAGACATGGAAACTGCCACAGTTACATGTCCCATTAACATTTCTGGCTGTCAGGTACATTTACACTGATTTTAGACCTGATTTCTAAAGGAAACGAGCTGCAGAGCCAATAATTTGCACTAATTATGAGAGTAAGACGAGCCAGGTTGGAGTCTTAAATATTGGCCTTGTTTTCACTGCTGCTTAGTAGAAACAATAAGTGCAACTGTTGTGGAACAGTTGATTTCTCAACCTACTTTAATTATATTTCAATACTAGAGATGGAACATGCATGGGTCTCCTTGGGGTCTCCTAAGAATGTGAAATGCAGTTTCAGTATGTGGAATACTTTCCAGCTCCTACCACCTGATTTCAGTTTCACAACAGTTGCAAAACAGGACAGTGAAAACTCCGCCACTGAGTAGACCACTTCACATGCTTTATTTCAGCACCCAAAATAATTAAAAACATCTCGATTTATTATACATGTACAAAATAAGTACAGAATCTCTCTTTTAAACCATGAAAGTGGGTCTGCTTCAAATTCTTTTTTAAGAAACCCTTCGCGAAAAAGACATCAACAAACAACATAAACAACAGGATGGGAGATGTGTGCTGTTTTTTCTATTGTTTTTTTTAGTGAAGAGGAGTTTTCCACAGGGGCAAAACAGACAGAAAGGTCAACACTGAACACATGGGCAGGGAAATGATATTGAATCAGAGTCACTTGCTTTTATCTACAAAGACATGATTGCATGCATTACATCTGCAGTCATCACCTTTGCAGAGGAGCTCTGTTATCAAACCAACACTTAAGAAGAAAACAATTGCACTGCATAGACAACAAGACAATGAGTCAATTTAGTAGCACCAAAGGTTCTGCAGACATTAGTGGCAGTAATTACAGTATGACAGTGATAGTCTCACCATCAAACACCAATAACTGGACCTCATTGAGTTGGTAATAGCACCTTTGAATGTTTTAATTCCCCCCCCCCCAATAGACTTGTTGTGTAAAATATACCCTTTTCATTTAAGAAAAATTGGGGGTGACTTCTTGTTATGAGGTAGCCATCTAAATATTGCAATGAAGGTGAGCTTCTTTGTCTTGCTCATTTGCTGGTCACGTTTGTCTGAGCAACATTCAGGTGTTTTTTTTTTTTTTAGGAATTTATAACAAGAAGACACTTCACACTTTTTACAATTTATTTAACACCAGAAAAATGGTACATATCATTTGTTGTTTTCAATGTCCTTCCGCAGTGGTAGAAAATGGCAAAAGTCACCTGTGTTTCATTGCGAGTGTGGATCTTTCTTTCTTTTTTTTTTTTTTCTCAATCTCCAGGGGGAAATTTTACACAAGTATATATTATTTTCTTGTTGCCAGTGGAAACAAAAGATTCTTTTTAAAGTGTCCTTGTGGTTGGTTTTCGGTTGAAGTAGCAGTCCCAAAAACTTCTCATGATTGGAAAAAACACAAACATCGTCTTCAGTAGAGTGGTTTTAAGCATGTGGGCCAATGGCAGCCGAATGAGTTTTGAATGCATAGAAAAAAAGGATTTAGAGATGACTGCTAGAAAAAAAAACAACAATGTCATGTCCATATTTCTTTCATTTTTACAAGAAGCAAACGGGGCCAACTTCGACGCCAAATTCCTGATCAGGGGCACCAACATCCATAGGAGCAATGTCAATGATGGGCAGGCGAGATGTTTTTGATGTCTTGTAGTCGATGACTGTCTTGCCCCATGTGCCAGTGTGTGACTGTGGAGAGGAGGAAAAGGAGAAAAGGTCAGAAATTGCTCCAAAAAACTCACTTACATTTACTCAATTACATTTGCACAAGTGCTGTAAAATCTTGCTTCTCTAGACAAGACAAGGTCAGATGATTTTACCAGTTTTTTATGAATTTTTATGTAAACTCACCGTGCAGCCATCCTCGCTGACGCTGTATGTGAAGCGGCTGTTGCCCTCGGCTCTGATCTCGACGTCGTTGGAGCCCTGGAGAAGCAGAGCCTTCTTCAGGTTGCCAGTGGCGGAGTCCATGTAGGCAATGCTGTTCTTGCAGTGGTATGTGATGTTCTGAGAGGCCTGGTTGGACATCAGGCGCATGAAGGTCATCTGGATGCTGACATCCTCGGAATCGGCTCCATCGCTGCCATACTGGAACTGCACAGTGGAGGGAAGAGAAGGATGCACATGTTTTACCGTCATTGGCTTAACAGTGCTGTACATGTCCTATAATCTATCAGTGGATGAGGATGAAGTTTTTGAGACACTGTCTTCTCACCTGGAATCCACCGGTCATGGACTCGCTGAACCAGACGTGCTTCTTCTCTCTGATGTTCTTGCTGAGGTACCAGTTCTTCATGGGGATGCTGGACTCGCTGGGGTAGATGCAAGTCTCGCCAGTCTCCATGTTGCAGTGGACCTTGATGGCATCCAGAGGAGAGCCCTGGTTGGGGTCAACCCAGTAAGCGCCTGTAACGAAGGAACATAAAACAGTTTGAATCGGAGCTTATCCTCATGTTATACTTCATCTAAAGGCTCCAACAGGGCTCCGATCCGCACTCACCGCTCTTCCACTCAGGGTGGCACATCCTCAGGTCACGGCACATGCGGGCAGGGCTCTTCTGGGTACCGTCGGGGCTACGGATCTTCTCGACCTTCTGGGTCAGGGTCTTGAGGGTGGTGTCAACCTCCATGTCGCGATCGCGCATCATGTTGGGGTCGTCAGCGCGGTAGTGGCCGCCACGGAAGGGATCGGGGGCCTTCTCCTGGATTGGCTGGCTGACGAAGTCGAATCCACCGCCAGGAGGTCCAGGGGGTCCGGCAGGTCCAGGAGGTCCGGGAGGACCCTTTTTGAAAACACCACGGGTTTCCATTTTACAACCACATTCAAAGTGAATTTACAAGTATGTGGATATTATAAAGATAGTAGTGCATCTTACAGCAGGTCCCATCTCTCCATTGCGACCGCGAGGTCCAGGGGGTCCGATGGGTCCGGGCAGACCGTTCATGCCATCCTTACCAGGGGAACCATTAGATCCAGCAGGTCCCTATGGAACAAAAGTCACATCATCACTCAATGAGAAAAAACATCAGTTCATTACAGTTCAGCTTGTCATTTTACTGACATCATGTGCATGTATATATGCTATAACATGTATGGTCCTGCTTATCATGCACTTTTGCACTGCATCTTTTTATGTTACTTTCTGGATTAGTGGTCATTCACTCTGCACAACTGTTTTGAGTCAATGGAAACATTTTAAGGAAAACCAAAAACAGGCTCTTCAAGTATCTGAGTGCTAGAGAATCATTATTGTTTTGTGCGTAGATAACCACCAGTAATGTGAGAAATTGTACTTACTCTAGGTCCAGCGGGTCCAGAGGCACCAGCAGGTCCTCTCTCTCCAGCAGTTCCCTAGAGGCAGATGAAGATATTTATATCAAATGTTTGATGTTGTTGATGCAGTAATCAACCAACTTTTGCTTCTCTATCAGTTTGAACCAGTTACTTACAGCGGGTCCGGGCAGACCCTGCATGCCAGTGAATCCTCTGTGTCCCTTGTGGCCTCTCTCTCCAGCCTCACCAGCCTCTCCTCTGTCTCCCTTGGCACCAGAAGGGCCCTGAACAAAGGCAACAGGAGGTCAAGATGAGGACTTCTCCATTATTTCAAAATGATGCTAAGAGATGTTAGTGATACATATAATGCAGTGATGAACGTACAGCAGGACCACGGACACCAGCGGGACCAGCAGGACCGGCGGGACCAGCGGGACCCTAGAGGAATGAGAGAGTGGGAAAATCAGATGACGACAAAATTTTAAGTTATCTTCCCAGTGTATTACCAAATGTACATCTTTCAGTAGCATCAAGATAAACAGAAGGGGGCGCTTACACTCTCTCCACGGTCACCAGTCTTTCCAGAGGGGCCAACAGCTCCGGGGGCTCCAGGAGCACCAGGGGCTCCAGGGGGTCCAGCCATGCCGCTCTCACCACGGTCTCCCTGTAGGAGCAAATCTCCAGTGAGAGGATGCTAGGAGGCTTAAGGCTAACTGTACCGTTTCTAGTGGGAAACTGTATCGGACTAAAGATTAAATGATCAGGCAAAACAAAGTAGAGGGTTTGGTATTGAGATATTATTTGAGGCCTGAGAAAGACTTAAAAAATTAGACCAGAAAAGGAAGTTTACCTTGGGGCCAGTAGCTCCGTCACGACCAGGGGCACCATCATGACCGGGAGATCCCTGTGGAGGAGCAATCATCATTATGTTCAATGGTTAGCATCGATATTCTAGGGCAGCCATTCTGTATCTGCACAGATTCAGTGCATCATCGGCCAATGAATGAATATGCGTGGACTGTAGGAGTGTGAGACCCTCCCATCTAAGTACTCTACATGGTACAACAGAGACAGGCAGCATACCTCACGACCAGCCTCTCCGGTGGCACCAGACAGTCCAGGGGGTCCAGCAGGTCCGGGCATTCCACGCTCACCAACAAGTCCAGAAGGTCCCTGCTTTCCAG